GCCTGGCTATTAGCAGTAGTGTTGTCAGCCTGCAGTGTGAGCTCTTTCCTATGGCCATTGGGCTGCCTGTTGTGTTTTCGGGACAAAATGTGAGAGCAAAAAAAAACAAAAACACAAGGGCTGCAGCCATTCTATGCTCTGAGGCTCCATGCACACAGGTTTATAAATTGCTGCTTCTATAGGAGTTTTGTGTTTTGTCCATAAAAGAAGCTCAATGGCATCTTATATGTCCATGTACATTAGAATAATGGGGGAGCGCCGTTGTTTTGGATCCAGCGGTGGTGTTTGATACCCACCAGTGTATCACAGCATACAGCACTATCCATAGGTGTTGTATTTGCCAAATTTTTGTAAGTGGCTGTCTACTTTTATCGATTGAAGGTGTATTTTGTACTGCATTGGTGTATTTTTTTTATTTGTTGTTTCATGACCACTAACCCTGAGAGAGGAGATTGAGGAGAAGGAGAGTGTTATCTATATGGGTATAGCTCCTCATTACTAGGAATCTGTTAATCTATGAAGTGGCGTGAGCTAATCATGGGAATATGAGAGGCATGGAGATTTGAGGATAAACAGAGAGACGTGAAACAATATCGATACTGGGTCAACTTCCCATCTAGATTAATATATTAAGTGATTCCAGCCAACCATGAGAATGGGAGGTATGATTATTCAGTGAATGCATACACGAGAGGGATCGCCTTCTTTATGAGCACCAGGTGATTTCTTTTTGGGAATTAGAAGAATTGTTTGGTGGAAGAGACATTTATGGACTTTCCATTTTCATTTATGTTGATTAGTCACTTACTTATATATGTATATTTTGTTTATATTTGTTTTACGCTACTGAATCACTTGAAGGTTCTTTTTTAATTGGTTTAACTGATTTTGTTTAAAGTGGCAGCACTGTTTGTAATTTATATTTAATTTATAATTTTTTATTGTTTGATTTCTATTGGCTATCACGCATCTAGCGCAAAAGTCTTTTGTTTTTACATTCATTTTGCATCCGTTTTTCATCAGTTTACATCCATTTTTCATCAGTTAACATCAGTTTTTTTTTATCTTTTTGCATCCGGTTTACAACCATTTTTCATCTGTTTTCATCTGTTTTTCATCTGTTCCATTTTTTTCTTTTACGGAAGAAAAATAGGGTTTTCTTCCGTTCAAAAAAACAGCTGTTAATGGATATGAACATTAACGGATGTAAACGGATGATTATCCTTTTACATTCGCTAGTCCATAGAAATACATGCGTGTTTGTTTTTCATCCGTAAACGGACAGATGAAAAACGGACAAATGCCCGTGTGAAAGAGGCCTTAAGAGGCTGTCCCTGGGCACTGTCCTGTAAATATTTGTGTTATTTCTATGAAGATTGTTTTCTGGGCTGGAGAGTTTGTTCTCCTATTGGGATGTGTTGAGTAAAACCCATCAAAACACACAGGTCATTTCCAGCTCTCACTGGCAAGGAGTGTATCCCTTGCAGCATTAGAAACAGGTCCCTGGGGTGATATTATTATTATTATTATACAGGATTTACGGTATATAGTGCCAGCAGTTTGCGCAGCGCTTTACAATGTAAGGGAGACAGTACAATTACAATACATTTCAGTACATAAGGAATAGGAGGGCCTTGCTCATGGAGCTTACAATCTAAAGATTATATCAGGCCAAAGTCTGTAAGAGGGTGTTAGGGTGTCCCCTTAAAATATAACTAAAAGCAAAACTTTTTCTTTAATTTTGGACAGAGTGCAGAGGGATTAGAACTGTGATGGAAGCGTAGGCAGGACAGAACACACAAAGAAGACGGTAAACACACCAAGCTTTATTGTACTATGGAAGGCACTCAATCAGGGTAGGAAGGTAGTGTCCAGGTACCCAAAAAAGGGGAAGAGAGGGGAGGAGCCCAAAATAATTGTAATCCGGCCCACGATAGGGCAATCCAGGTAGCGATGGTCCGAGCACTTAGGGGGGCAGTCCAGGTAGCTACGATACTCCAGACACGTAATAGGCCGTCCAAGCAAATATTAATCCCGGCACACAATAGTGGCAGTTCAGGCAAGGGTAATCTGGGCACTCACGATAGGCGGCTTGCAGATACTCAGCAGCAGGCGGCTTCCAGGGACACTCGATCAGCAGACAGGGGGTAGCTTTCCAGGGACAAAGTGGTCAGCAGACAGAGATTCTCGTGGGGCCCAGCTTTCCAGGGACAAAGCAGTCAGCAGACAGGGACAGCTTTCCAGGGACAAAGCGGTCAGCAGACAGGGATCCTCATGCGGCTTAGCTTTCCAGGGACAACAGCAGGCTCACGGGGACTCAGCGGGGTCTTGGCTGTGGGGTTTGACTTCAGCTTAGACCTCACACAGTTTTCCAGGGACAACAGCAGGCTCATGGGGACTCAGCGGGGTCTTGGCTGTGGGGTCTGACCTCAGCTCAGACCTCACACAGCCAGGGGCGGACTGACAATTCATGGGGCCCCCGGGCAATAGGGGATCATGGAGCCCCTGTGTCCTTGCCCAAACTCAAAACAGCCTATGAAAAAAGGTACCAGGGGCATCTTATGGGGCCCCCTACTGACCCCGGGCCCTCGGGCAGTGCCCAAGTTTCCAAATGGTCAGTCCACCCCTGCACACAGCTTTCCAGGGACAAAGCGGTCAGCAGACAGGGTTCAGCTTTCCAGGGACAACAGCAGGCTCATGGGGACTCAGCGGGGTCTTGGCTGTGGGGTCTGACCTCAGCTTGGACCTCACACAGCTTTCCAGGGACAAGCGGTCAGCAGACAAGGTTCAGCTTTCCAGGGACAACAGCAGGCTCACGGGGACTCAGCGGGGTTCAGCTCTCCAGGGACAACAGCAGGCTCACAGGGACTCAACGGGGTCTTGGCTGTGGGGTCTGACCTCAGCTCAGACCTCCCAACAGCTATTCTCTCTCTCGTGCGGGGGACCAACACAGCGGTCAGCTTGTCAGGGACACAGCAGGCTTGCAGGGGCTCGACAAGGTTGTGACTATAGTTCTACTTTAAAACCATAGCTTTCAACTTTCCCTAATTTGGAATCAAAAAGTAGTTTAAAAAAAACAAAAAACACCTGTCTTGGTCTTGTAGTGTACAGTGGGAGACTGACACTCCCAGAAGTGTTAGTTTCCCAACAGATTTCACGGTCAACTTTCCTTTACTCCTCCACTCTGTTCCAGCGCTCCAGCACTTCTGGGAATGGAAAAGCATGGGATTACTTGGTGTTGCTATCACATGCGGTTGAGTATATTGTCATCCCTGTGTCAGCTACAACCCAAGAACCAATATGAACTTATACAAGGCTGTGTCACAGCAACTTTTCTTTCTCTGATAAAAACATCAGATAGAACCATCTAAATTCAGCATCGTAGGCTATAAAATGTAGACTTTGTGTCTTTAACTGCTATTTTATCATTCTGTCAAATAAATCAAAACAGAAAGGTAAAAGAACCTTGCTATGTACATAAAAATTTATCTTGTTAATCCCCCTTCATGACCAGGTCATTGTTTGCTGTTTGGCACTGCACTACTTTAACTGGCAATTGCTCAGTCATGCATCACTGTACCCAAATTAAATTTATATCATTTGTTTCACACAAATAGCGCTTTCTTTTGGTGGTCTTTGACCATCACTGATTTTTGCTTTTTTTTTTTATTATATAAACGAAAAAAGACTGAAACTTTTGGAATAAAAACAATATTTTCTACTTTCTGTTATACAACATATCAAATAAAAAAAAAAAATCAAATTTTTTCATAAATTTAGGGCAACATGTTTTCTGCTACGTCTTTGGTAAATAACATTCCAATGTATATATTAATTAGTTTGTGCAAAAGTTCTAGCGTCTACAAACTATGGTATATATCCTGGAATTTACACAGTTATAACACGATATAGTTAATGGCGATGATCAACGACTTATAGTGGGATTGTAATAGCGTGGCTGGCAATCTGGAACTATCTGACGTAGGCTGGGAGGGACACTGACGTCAATAGTGACACTAATACAGTGATCAGTGCTAATATAGTATACTGTCACTGTACTAATAACACTGGCTGGGAAGTAGTTAACATCTTGGGACAATCAAAGGGTAATTGCGTGCCAAACATGTGTAATGTGTGCTGCTTTTACTATACTGTATGGCAGGGGCGGACTGACCATTTGGAAACTCGGGCGCTGCCCGAGGGCCCAGGGTCAGTAGGGGGCCCCATGAGATGCCCCTGGTACCTTTATCATAGGCTTTTTTGAGTTTGGGCAAGGACACAGGGGCCCCATGATCCCCTATTGCCCGGGGGCCCCATGAGTTGTCAGTCCACCCCTGCTGTATGGCTGTTTATTCTCCCTGCTTTGCAGAGAGGATAAAAAGCCAGATCGCTGTTCCCTGTACAGAGTTGTGTGTTTTGTAAACACAGACCTGTGTATGATTGGAAGTAGCCATTCAGCTGCCAAGCTCGTGCTGTGTCCAATCACAAAGTGGGTCAGCAGTGAGTATGCGCACCATGCCCCAAACCTGGACGTTCAGCTGCAAAGTTCCAGTATGACCCCTGGTCTGCTTGTGCCACACATGTACTGTGGGCAGGCGGCAAGTGGTTAATGCATTCTCTGCATTAAGGTAGAAAAACCTTTTAGGTGCAGCTCCTTTCTGCCCCCCCCAAATACTTTCCTGAGCCCGTGTCTGAGCGCAGCAGCATGGATCTCAAGCTTTCTCTGCAACAGACACAATGAGAGCAGCGGGAGCCACCGGCAAGCCAGTGACAAGGGAGTGAGGGGCAGGGCCAAGCCGCAATGTGTGTGTCAATAGTGCACTACACATGTGCACCCCTAGAAAGCGGCTTGCTATGGGGGCACTCTGAAGGCAAGAGGAGCCAGGAACGCTGGTGGAGGACCCCAGAAGAGGAGGATCGGGGCTGCTCTATGCAAAACCATTGCACAGAGCAGGTTAGTATACCATGTTTGTTATTAAAAAAAAAGATCATTTACAATCACTTTAAAATGTTACTAAACCCACAACAGTAAAATCAGTCTGTATATGCAGTAAAGCATGCTTTTGATAGTCACTGTGGCGCCTAAGGGTTTAATTGTGTAAAAAACGCTGTTTGATCCTGACTTCTCTGTTCCTCCCCTTCTTCCAGTGTCCCCCTCTTACCTCCTGATAAGACATATCGTGTGGAGTGACTCTGCACATGCTTAGTTTGGTGTGTATTGCTAGAGAGGTTTTTTTTCTTTTTCTTGGGAGAGTGCATGTGATCAGCACAGGGCCAATCAGCACTGTCCAGACAGAGGTCAGGGGTTCTGCATCCTCATAGAGCAAAATGAAAACTCCTTCTACAAGCTTTAACATGTGCTCGGCTGGACACTGCTAGAAGACTGCTCTAACTGCTGATGAGAAAAGGTATTTAGCAGTTTTTATTTACTAAAATAATTGCATTTCCATGTTCTGTGTACTGTGGGAGACCGGATATAGTGAATGCTGGGTCCAGGGAGACCGGATATAGTGAATGCAGGGCCCGGGGAGACCGGATATAGTGAATGCAGGGCCCGGGGAGACGAGATATAGTGAATGCAGGGTCCAGAGAGACCAAATATAGTGAATGCAGGGTCCGGGGAGACCGGATATAGTGAATGCAGGGTCTGCGGAGACCGGATGTAGTGAGTGCAGGGTCCGGGGAGACCAGATATAGTGGATGCAGGGTCCGGGGAGACCAGATATAGTGAATGCAGGGTCTGGGGAGACCAGATATAGTGAATGCAGGGTCCTGGGAGACCAGATATAGTGAATGCAGGGTCCAGGGAGACTGGATATAGTGAATGTAGGGTCTGGGGAGACCGGATATAGTGAATGCAGGGTCCGGGGAGACCAAATATAGTGAATGCAGAGTCCGGGGAGACCAAATATAGTGAATGCAGAGTCCGGGGAGACCAAATATAGTGAATGCAGGGTTCGGGGTTTAGTAACACTTTAATTGTATTTAGTTTAGGGAGGGGGGCCTTAAGCTAAACATGTTGCTTTCCCCTGCTTGGACTTTGGCTCTAGGGTTGCCACCTTATCCCTTTAAAAACTGAACACAAATTACACAGGTTCTGAGGCTAATTCATTGCAGATAAGATACTTCTTGAGTTTAGTTACCACCTTGATCAGCCACAGAACCTGTATAATTAATATGCGTTTGGTTTTAAAGGGTTGAGGTGGCAACCCTACTTGACTCACAGAAGTTGAAATTTGCATTACAGATTTCTCTAGGTTAAGGATCATTGGGGGGGTGCTCAATCAGCTATCTAGTGTGGTGTGTAGGTGCTAATTGAAGCCGGTTTTTCAAGTGCTTGTGATCAGTTTATATCTTAAATAAATGACTGATTTAATTTAAGAAAGGATTAACTCCCCATATGGTGTTGATGGAACCTTTTCCTAGTGATAAGTAAAACTGCTGAGTGTAAAAGATCATATCAGGTAGATGAGTGGGCAGACAATCTACAGAGATGTGCCGAGGTTGACCCAGCCGAGAGGACAAAGTTTACAGCTCTGAGCCCTGTGACCTCTATTTTTATTTTTTGTCTAAATAATTGGGTGAAGGGTGCTCGTAGGACATGGCTAAATATGCAGTGCTTTGTGGTGTTTGTATAACATCATAATCAAAATATACACAGCTATGCAAAGCTTCACAATGAGAAAAGTACACATCGCTGTGTCCTTACCCTGTTATTGATATTAACAGACATTAGCCTCAATTCAGAGAAAGGGTTTTGTGATTCCGTGTGTTATAACATATGCTTTTGTTAATGACCATCTCTTTAGTTCAGTTCACTCAGCCTGGCTTCACATATATGCGGTGCGGTACATCGCATGTGATTCTCACAGGAACCGCACTGCATTCCTGTGCAAATCACATGCGATTTGTGTGCGGTGCGGTTGAAGCCATACATTTTGTAAAAAATGGTGCAGGACCCTTTTTTTGGTCCGCACTAGAATCGGATCACATGGGTATTCACACCTATGCAATCCGGTTCTGCACATCGCACCACAGACCACTTTCGGGGGGTTGTTAACACCCACAATGGTTCGCATGAACGGGGTGCAATTCTGATGCGGTGCGGAATTTGCACAGAAAACGCTGTGAATTCCGCACCACATCAGTGTGAACTCGGGCTCAAGGCATTACAGCACAAGCCAAATGGATTTACTGCACGAAAGTGATCATTTGGCACACAGAATGTTTTATTGATTTTAAACTAAAATTTCAAAAAAGTGTTGCCCAGTTCCTAAAACAAAGAAAAGGCAGCTTTTGTTGCATTACTTTCCTCAATTCCAGTGCTGTCCTCCAAAAAGACAGACTGCTCCTTCCATCTGCTGCCATTGGGTTTCCTGGTTGAATGACACCCAACGCTATTCAACCCACTTCCTGTAAGCCCAGGGAGTCATAATCCCCAGCAGTAAGTTGGACCAATGGAAGAAGAGGACCCCCTGTCATGTGAATCAAGAGGAGGCTGGAGAGAAGCACCGTGGCGAAATGGTTAGCACTTTCACATGGGAGTACTAGGATTGTTGGTTCAAATCCCAACCATGGAACCGTCTGCATGTTGTGCCTGTGTGGGTTTCCTCTGGGTACTCCGGTTTCCTCCCACACTCCAAAGACATGCTGGTAGGTTAATTGGCACCTGTCTTAATTGGCCCATGTATGTATGAATGTAAGTTAGGGACCTTAGCGTGTACACCTTTTGATGGTTAGGGACTGATGTGAAGGCACAATATGTATGTAGCATACTGCATAAATTGACAGAGCTACATAAGTACCTGTAATAAATAAGAGAAGTCATTGGGGGGGGGGGAATACTAAAAAACTGTTTTTAAAATGGAGGTGGGAGGGGACGACACAGGTGAATGTCAGTTCACATAAGCGGAGATCCTGCTGTGCATGCACCAGGTCCTAGATACCTGGAATTCTTGGGCAATGTGCAGGTGCTGGAGCTTTTAAAATGCTTGCATGTAGGTAGTGATATCACATAACCAGGAACCACCGGTTGTGGCCCCTAGCATAGGCATCCAACAGGAGTGGAGAATAGGGACTGGTGCTTGGAATGCACGTCTATGATAGAGCACACACAGCTGTCAGGAAAACTGAGTTCATGCACGTACATGAGCATAAGCGTGCACATGAGCATTCATGTTTGAATTCACTTTGGCACTCAGTGGTCTATTTAAAGTACTGCAAGGCTCAAGATCACTGCTGAGTGGTCGTCAGCTCCTGTGCCCCATGACCAGACCTTTGTTCCTGTGATATACTGGACTACGGCTGAGCTCGATCCCTCCGGTACATGACCTCTGGCTTGCTTATTGACTGTGCACCTTGTTTATCCTTTCAGCTCAAATTCTTCCCATGTGATACTGACCTCAGTCAGGCTCCTGTTTACATCCTCATCGCCTGAGTCTGTACCTCTGCTGCCTGCCTGTTGCAACTTCTGCCTGTCTGACCACATTTCTGCCTGCTGCTTCTGCAAGCCCTGCGACGTCATCCGGCATGAGTTACTGTTCTTCAGCTTCTACTTCATGGCACGATATGGTTCTCCTGCTGGCCAGGACTTACTACAGGTGCCTGTGCCACTCTGTGTCCTGTCCATGTCATCAATCTTGAGGAACAAACAGGACAGGAGGTGTAAGGAGGAGCCCCCTCCTAAATTTGGCCTCTACCACGTATGTGACAACAACTCTCTCCTAGCCTTCCATTTCTTCACCTCATTCATAAAATGCAGGCCACAGTGTGGAGCCTGCCGTGGCCCATGGTTATCCTCTCTCATACCCTGTGATTGGAGAGACCAAATTCTTCTTCTCTTGGATTCTCTTTAAAGAGATCCTATCACTAGCTTATTTAAAACAGAGCGCACTCTCTTTGTGCATTAACGTAGTAAACCAAGAATTTATTATGAAGCATAAAAATGCATACTCACAAACCAAAGGGGGATAAAAACAGACAAGAGGAGTCCATAATGACAGTCCAAAGTGACGGTAGACCCTTAGCGAGGTAGGCTAACGCGTTTCGGGAGACAAATTCCCTTCATTAGAGCTCTGATGAAGGGAGTTTGTCTCCCGAAACGCGTTAGCCTACCTCGCTAAGGGTCTACCGTCACTTTGGACTGTCATTATGGACTCTTCTTGTCTGTTTTTATCCCCCTTTGGTTTGTGAGTATGCATTTTTATGCTTCATAATAAATTCTTGGTTTACTACATTAATGCACGAAGAGCGTGCGCCCTGTTTTGCTTTTGTTCACCAGTATCAAATTTCCCGATTTTTAAGGGCTGTGTAGCAATTGTGCATACAGAAATGGACACGGTCATCCATCTTGTTAAGAATCTTCCATTTTGTATCATTTCTACTCCCAAATCAGCTTTCCTCATCCCCCTCCCTCTCTGTTGAGTGAAATGTGGTCTGTTTGATGCAGATCACAGGCAGCAAACTCAGTGGGAGGGCGTCATGGTTATAAATCCCACAACTAGCTGGTGCCCCTCTGTCTGTGAGACTCTTGCTAGAGAAGGGGTTATAATGCCATAAACCGAGCCCTCACTGAGCTTCAAAAGACATTCCAGGGAGTCGTAAAACAGACTTACATTTTAAAACCCAGTTTTCTATATAATTGTATATCTTCAAATAGGAAATAATTACACAAACATGGAGCACATATTCGGATGGCTCACTTTAAGACAAGTCGCATGGTATATTACACCCCCTAGCTGGCATATACAGGAGAGCAGAAAATTATATCTCCTTAACCATTCAAGCAGATATGTCATATTTCATATCTAACCGTTCAGCAGATGCGTCTGCATATTAATCTACTAGTGGCAAGGCTGCTAAATGCACCGAGAATACGTTATGAACCATGACATCAACTGGGAGAGTTTTAGGTTCTAGCTTGGGTCTCCGCCCCAACACCCCTCCCCAAATGAGGTGATTGGTTCTCTGCTTCAGAGAGACACCCTGCTGAGTTCCTAGAAAAAGCTAAGCTGAGTTGAAAAAGTTGAAGATTCTCCCGTTTAACATCGGAACCAACTTTGGAGGGTAAGGACGTTCTGCCCTGAAACCTGATCTGCTTAACCCAAGGCTGATGGCAAGTACTTTAACCCTCTAAACTTCTGTTATCTCTTTGCTGTGCTATTGTTTTCTGTATATTTATATATATATATTTGGCTGCATCTTTTTCTGTAAATATTTTTATTGCACCCTTTTGACCTTTTAGTAATAAATTTTACTTTCTGAAAGTGTTGAACTGTTTCTAAAGCTCTTTAATGCAAACAAAGCACCCCTGCCTCTGAAGAGAGCTACTGTGTGTGTTT